TCCAGTCTTGTATTCAGGGATGTACTTAGAGGGGGACAATGGGGACAGTTGGCCCGTGGGGCCAAATATTGATCTATTGAGGGGGATGGCCTGGCACCTCTGTAGCCTGATGTAATATTGTATCAATAAATATTTTTTTTTTTGGAAAGAATTTGTACTTATGACGTGATCAGAATTTGATGACGTCATTTATCAATCAACGATAACTGATAAATGCTAGCATAGAAATATAGAATATAATTAATATTATTTTAACATAACCACCGTTGTAGATAGACAACCATGACATAATCATAAATAATTATAACTAAAAAACAGGTAAGTTGATGTCGCTCTGCTCTACTTAAGGTTTCTAGGTCTCAGACTCAAGGAGATCGCTGTAATGGATTTTATTAAAATTGAATTCTATGATATGATATCATTGCATACAAAAAATGATTCTGAGCGGAGACGGTATATCAGTCTAGGATATTTTATATTGTTATTGGTTATTGTTAATGTAAGTTGAATTAGTATTATTCTTAAATTATCAGTGATGCTGGAAAAATATTAAATATACCTATATCAATTGGGCTGTTTTGTAACTGAATAACAAAATGACAAACGTTATTCTTGAATTTCCCGAATGCACCAACTAGATTCACTTTCCTACCAGAAAAATTGCTCTTGAAGAAAATCAAAGCACTTTAATTGGTCAAAACCGTGATGACAGACACAAAAAATTAATAATATATTAACACACATCATTGTAAAATCAATGCATCCATCGCTCCACTCAGAATCTAAAATGTGTTAAGATAAGTCAATAAAATATGGTTGACCCAGGGTTCCAAAATTATAAATACTACCCTGTTTGTATTTTGTTTAAATATTGTTTTGCACTGAAAGCCAACTTAGTATCTAGTCATTTTTATCAGTTGGAAACCAGGATGACAAAAAAAATGTCATTTAAGAGCTTGTAGTTTAATGGTTCAATGCATATTTAGACTACCCCCGTGGGGGTAAGGGAAAATAACTTTCAGGAAGAATACAATATTTGTATTTTATAACACATAATCAATTAATAATTTCTCTTTTTTTATTTGTCCGCTACTAAATGTACTATGATAGCTTAACATTTAAATTATGCATTAAAACAATTTCACGGTTATTATTTCTTATACCACAAATCAAATTCTTTTTGAATATATTCTCAAACCTAAACATAGAAATTGTATTAAAACATTGAAAACAATCAGTGATTTTTGGTACATTTTCTAAATGTAAAATGTATTTTATTAATTATCTATAAGCTACGGACTTATAACTATTGAACATAAATAGTGAACATTCAGTTTGACCTAGTATTAGAAAAAAAATCGGCTTTCTTAATGAAAAATTACAATCTTTAAAACAATGAATTTATAATTACCTATGTTAAAGATTTAGTGGTAGCCCTGAAGTTTAAACACTTCAGGGTTTTTAATTAAAATGTTTAGTTAGCAGCTTCAATGACCAATCATCGCCTATAATTTCTTAAGAAGACGTTATACCCGCATGTGTTGTCTCCGTCTTACAAGTGCCAAGTACGTACATTTTAAAGAGAGTTATGAGTATTTTGAGTTGTACAAACAATTTACAATTTTTAAATACTCATAAGTAGGGCTCGGATTTTAAAGCAAATGCTTCTATTTATATATTTAAGATAGAAATCTAATTTTTATACATAAATTTGTTTCACGTTAATCTGATTCGAAATAAACGAATTTATTTTTGCTTTTTTTTGCTTTTTTTAGTATAAATGCTTTTTTTTTGCTTTTTTATTGCTTTTTTCAGTTATTCAAGCTGTGGAATTTTTATTTGTTGGTATGCTATGAAAATAAAATAAAAGTGTAAAGTAAAAGTTAAATGAAGCTCATGGAGATATTGCAACTGCTATTTCTGGTAAACAAAAACGTGTTCTATTGAAAAACAAAGGCTGGAAACAATTACTGGACATCAATACTATACTGTGTGGCGTTTCATCAGATGAAATTAATTATCATGGGTTTGATTTAAACGAAACCTCTTGCATGAAGTATGCACAGATCACTTCAGTGGATGTAGAGCGTTCGTTTTCGATATATAAAAACATCCTGTCTGACAAGAGAGTTAGTTTCACTACTGAAAATCTTACCAAATACATGGTAGTAAATTCTTTTTTTAATTTAAATTAATTTTTCAATTTTTTTTCATTCAGTTTTATAAAATTTTAACTAATTCGTGTTAATTTTTAGTCGTACTTTTTTTGCTTTTTTTAAAAATAAATATGCTTCATTTTTGCTTTTTTAAACAATTTTATGCTTTTTTTGTTATTTATTATGCTTTAAAATCCGAGCCCTACTCATAAGCATAACTCTCATTAAGATTAAAATATAATGAAAAGCCCACGAGAAGCCATCCGTAATATTCTTATCTTTAATTTTAATAAGAGGTCAATTCACTCTAATTTTTAACCTAACTAAGCTAAACGTGATCTGCTGAACGTAAAATTTAATGTTGTACTCTTGTAAGACGGAGACAACACATGCTGGTATAACGTCCTCTTAAATAGAACATTTTATCAAAAAAAAAAAAATAACAGGGCACGTTTATTGTTACAATTGTAATTATACAAGATTTAGGTACCAAATAGCTAACAAACAATTTTAACGCCATGTTGATTAACTTTTATACTCTTGACATAATTTTTTTTATTTATAACTGCATTTTTCCTTATATTTTTTTAGTTTATACGTTCCTAATTATCGCTGCTAGATTTTCGTCTCACCGTCTACAACTTTCAGCTTCTTTTTTATGAAGTTCCAAACAGGAGAATGTTTATGGCTCACTAATTTAGAAAATCTGTTTTTGAAACCTTTAATTTGATTATTTTTACTCTGGATATTATGTAGTTTACATTCATATACATTACAAATTTCAGGTAGAAAAAGAGCGGGTACTTTTTGTAATTCAATGTATTTTCTTGACCGATATATACTTATGTCTCATTGACGTCATGTGTGATTAACAGTCCGTTAGTCTTTTGCTTTTTCGCTCTTCAGCAAAGATTTGATGTAAATGAGACATTCCTTCAAATATAGCACTATTTAGATACCACCATACGGGCAAAAATATCAGGGGTGAAACTACTGACTCATTTATAAAATAAAATGATCCAATAGGCAATAATATAAGTATCTACGGAGTACGGACTACAGTTGTTTGTTGTTGAATCACAGCAATTAGCAACTCAACAAAATAAGAAAATCGTTTGATGAGAATTAATTAATTTAGGGCTGAAAATCCCATGTCGAAAAAAATATTTTAATTAAATTCAAAATTTCTTAAAAACTTAATTTAATATCAGTTTTTATTTTTTTGTTAAATTTTCAAAATGATATATACATATTTACTAGTATTTTTCCTGCTCAAAATATTTGCAAATTTTCATGATTTTGGCGAATTTTTGTCAATATCTCCACTAACAGTTTATGAGGAACCTTTATTTAATTTTAAAGTTGTTTGACCTAAAAATATATTTTTATCAACAATAATCAACAATAACTTTTTATGCCTATAAATTGCTTAAAAAGAAAATGGTATTTTGAAAATTGTGGTGTTCAAAAAATGCTAATATTATCAACACAAAGCACATACAAAAATAATCATTTGGCTAAACAATAAATAATACTGTAACACTAAAGCAAATAACACAAGTACTAAGATGGTTCTGCTGAAGAACGTTTTATTGGCATTTACAGGGGAAAAATTTGAATATAAATATATATATATAGCTTTATTTATTATAATTATAAAATGTTTCAGCAGACAGGGTGCTTAACAAGTAATAAACAGCTTAAAAAATGTCATAATTATTTTATATTTTAAAGTGTATACAAAATGCTAATATAAGCATTCGGTGAAAATGTCATGTCTTTACGATTATTTTTTATCAGAATTACACCAAAAATTAAAATCGATTAAGTCATAAACTGGTTTTGCCAAAAATCTCTTTTTTCTTAAATATTTTTTTCTTGTAATTTCCTACGTTTTTTTTTCTTTTACCTCCCTTCCCCGCAACACCAATGTACCAACTATACATTGAGTTTCATCTTTCCAACCAAGAAAAGATGTCCAAGTAGAAAATCTGAGCATTGTTACTGCCCCAGTGCCACAAAAAGTGATAAGTAATGACGGACACAAAAAAAAATCCTTTAGGTAAGTAACCTACGTATTATACACTTTTATTCAGACTTCAGGTCGAAGAAACCTTGTTTCTCCTATTCATTTGGTAGAACTAAAGAAGAATGATCAAATTTGAAGTTCCATTTGTGTCTAAAGAAGTCGTATAAAAAAATACTGGATTCGGAACTTTTGTTATACGTGCTTGAAAACATCAATATTTGTCATAGAAAGGGCTAAAATAGATAGGATAAAAAATTATCGGGTCAAATGTATATATCCTAGGTAATAATTATTATAGACCTTAAACTGATAGACGGAGAATAGCTGGCCGGTTTGGTTGGGTGGTGCGGTCATGGCAATTTGTGTTACATTTATGTATTATACAGTAAAATACAGGTTATTCTATCATCTAGTATTCTAGTTTGCATGTGCGGTGTAGTACGATGTACCTTGATCGGCGCCGTCACTCGTGGACGTCGGAATTATTACCACGTTCTGTTTATTAGCAAAAGTTTATTTTGTCAGTGTTGTAACTAAACAAGCACATATATTTTATTCTGTGGTAAAAGGTATGAAGATTAGACATTATCTATAATCTTTATGGACTTATGACTATGAGTTATGGTAAAAGCACAGAATAAAATGTGAGAGGTCTTGACTCCAAATGATATAGGAAATCGGGAACAGAATATTTATAGATGATAGCGACCAGTGACCACCTCGGTTATCTACTAGAATGGTGCTTCGTCAAAAAAGATAAAACTGTTTTTGTTATTCCTCCATGAAAACCTCCCACCGATTACATATTCGTGATTTGCACATTTATAAAACTTTTAGAAGTAGCATCTAACAAGGCAATTGAATGTTGATACGAGTTGTTACGAAAGGCTTAAAACTTGTAATTTGTATTACTCTTTGTACGTTAAGTGAATTGGAGAACAATTAAAAAACTCAGTCGTTCAATCAAAATTATGTAAGTGATATATTATAATACCTAATTAGTTCTATAGCACCTAAGATTTTTGATATATCTCTGTATTTGTGTAAACGATGCTATTAGAATAAAAATTGAATTATATTACAAATATAGATCAAGATGATGGACAATTTGGAACCTCTCACCACTGATGGTGGTCGTATAGTAAAAATGGAAGTGGACTACACTGCTACATGTGATGAAAAAATCGCTGTCGCTGAAAGTTTGGCGGCCAGCGGTAAACTACAAGAAGCATTGGATACGTTACTTGTGCTTGAAAAACAAACTAGAACTGTGAGTTATTATTTTTTTATATTAAAGTATTGCACATCTGATCATGTGTATGTTATTTGTATATATGCATACCAATTTAATGTTAAATTATTTAGTACCTAACTGTGTACTTCTCTCATGTCTAAAATAAACCTATTTTTAAAGATTATTATTCGTTTCAATTGAATGAGTTCACATTTTTATTACTACTTATTTAAATTATTGTAAATGCTTAAGAGTGAATAATAAAATATTGTGTTATGATCTATATTTGAGAGCTTATATGATTATATGAAAATACTGTTGATTTTGTAATCAAAATTATTAAACTGTTTGCATAATAATTTGTACAAACATACAATAACCTATTTTTGAATTAATGATCAACTGTCCAATCTATTATTTATGTTTAAGGGATCTGATATGGCTTCAACTAGTCGAGTTTTGGTTGCTATTGTTAAACTATGTTTTCAAGCCAAAGAATGGGCATTACTTAATGAACATATTGTTATGTTAACTAAAAGAAGATCACAGTTGAAACTTTCAGTTGCAGCTATGGTCAGGGAGTGTTGTACATTCATTGACCAAACACCCGATAAAGAGACAAAATTGAAATTAATCGAATCCCTAAGGAACGTTACTGAAGGAAAGGTAATAATTCAATTTTTATTTTAAATTAAAATAATATGATGTTACACATTTAAATGTATTAATGAACTTCAATATTAATTTAGTTTATTAAAATTAAAATATAGATATTTTAGTAGTCTAGTACAAATTTACAATTGTTATTTTTGCTATTCAGATATATGTAGAAGTAGAAAGAGCTCGTCTCACACAAAAATTGGCTCAAATTAAAGAAGACGAAGGCGATGTTACTGGCGCTGCAAATATCATTCAAGAATTGCAGGTGGAGACTTATGGTTCAATGAAAAAACAAGAAAAAGTTGAACTCATTTTGGAACAGATGAGATTATGTTTGGCTAAGAAAGATTATATTCGTACACAGATTATATCAAAGAAGATAAATACAAAGTTTTTTGATGATGATAAACCTGAAATACAACAGCTCAAATTAAAATACTACAAGTAAGAATGTTTGTTCAATTTTATAATAGTTATTATAACATACATTTTACAGATTAATGATTGAGCTGGGTGAACATGATGGTCAATACTTAGATATATGCCGCCACTACAGAGCTATTCAAGTTACTCCTGAGATTAATACTGATGAAACAAAATGTAATGCTGCTTTGCAAAATGCAATATTATACCTCATTTTAGCTCCATACGATAATCATCAATCTGATTTAACTCACCGAATTCTGGAAGATGAAACTTTACAAAAAATACCCAAGTACAAGTATGTGTTTTTATATTTTATTTATGTATGTTCCTATATTTTTAATTTGTTATTATTAATAGATCATTCCTGCAATTATTTACCACTATGGAATTGATTCAATGGAAAGAGTTGAGCCAGGATTATGAAATTGAACTAAAATCTGGGCCTACAGCTACAGATGTATTTTCAGAAAGCACTGAAAAAGGAAAGAAACGTTGGGCTGATCTTAAAAACAGAGTTGCTGAACATGTATGTATTAATAGATGAGCCTAAAAGCTTAAACTAAATTTGATGCTAATTTTTATGTCCACTTTATAATTGTTGCTTTTTTGTTGTATGTTTATATAGAATGTTCGTGTAATGGCCAAATATTATTCTAGAATCAGAGTTGTTCGAATGTCTCAGTTATTAGATATGACTTTAGAGGTTAGATGAATGTTGTTATCCTTCATTAATTGAATTTTATATGATTTTGTTGTAACTAAAAATCTAAATATCTGTTATAGGATACTGAACAATTATTATCTAACATGGTTGTAGATAAATCTGTAAAAGCTAAAATCGATCGTCCGTCAGGTGTGGTTGAATTTTCAGTTGGAAAATCTGTTAACGAAGTGTTGAATGAATGGTCATTTGGACTCAACGACCTCATGAAGCTAGTAAACAATACTACTCATCTCATCAACAAAGAACAGATGGTTCATAAACATTTACTGTCTCATTAAGAAATAATTAAACATTTGTAAATTTCCCCAAAAAACACAAATTTAATAATAATTTAATTGTTATTTTTAATTATGATAAATTATACTCATCCAAAAGTTTTTTGCTCGTTTTCAATTTTATAGTTTGAATGAGTGTAATACATTTATATTTTTTACAATAACTATACACATTCAATAATGATAGGGGCGCATAAGAAGAAAATTACATATTAATGAGTGAAAAAAAAAATTTGTGAATACTTTAGGATAAATTCAATACAATGTAATTAAATTAATAAGTGCTTTTTATTTCTAAGTACGGCTGGCTTTTTATTTTGTAGTTTATAATCCTGCAACAATTATTCTAGGATCCTCGATGGCAGCTTTAATTTTGCGTAAAAACAGTACAGCTTCACGTCCATCTACAAGCCTATGATCATATGTTAAAGCTATGTACATCATGGGCCTTATGACAACCTAATTAATAATAATAAAAAAAAAATATTAAAAATATGTTATTAATTATTATCAAAAGCAAAAAACTACTGTAATAGATAGTAACCTGTCCTTTAACAGCAATAGGCCTTTCAAAAATGCCATGCATTCCCAAAATAGCGGATTGTGGTGGGTTGATGATTGGTGTTCCCATTAGAGATCCGAAAACTCCACCATTACTGACAGTAAAAGTACCACCATCCATATCTTCAACATCAATAGCTCCTCTTTTCGCTTTTTCACCGAGAGCCGCAATTGTTTTTTCAATATCTGCATAATTCATGTCTTGAACATTGCGAACGACAGGCACTAATAGACCCTATTTATAAAATGTTTTATAAAACCATTGTCAAATAGTGCTATTAATATTTAAATGTTTACTTTAGGAGTTGCTACAGCTACAGATATATCTACATAATCTCTGTAGATAATTTCATTGCCTTCTATTACAGCATTGACAACGGGTTGATCTTGTAGGGCGTAAGCAGACGCTTTTAAGAATGCAGACATAAACCCTAATTTCAATCCGTGTTTCTTTTGAAAAGCATCAAGGTTGGTTTTACGGAAATCCATGATCGAGCTAAAAATTGAATTATAAATAGTAGGGCAATCTTTAAATAGTTATACTTTAAAAATTGATGATCACCTCATATCTATTTCATTAAAAGTGGTCAACATGGCATTGGTGTTTTGAGCATCCTTCAAACGTTGGGCAATACGTAATCGCATACGGTTCATTTTAACACGGTATTCTGATCTGGTTCCAGCTATCTCTTTGGTGGGATCAGTTGGTGGTACCTTAACAGTGGCAGTTTGTTGTTTTGATATTTGAGGGGCAGCTGCTGGTGGAGTAGCTACTCTCGGTGGTGGGGGCTGTGATATTTGTGGGGGAGGTGTTGCAGGAACAGGAGCAGCTGCTGCTGCAGCCACAGGAGTTTTTGGTTCTGCAGCTTTAGGGGTATCTTCAACCTTAGGAGTATCTTCAACTTTAGGAGCTGCTTTGGCTGGCGCAGGTCCTCCTTCTAATAATTTGTTTAAACATCATACACGTAAAATAAACTAAAAAAATTATTTCTACCCGTGATTGTAATTGTACACAAATCTTGTCCAGCTTTGACAGTAGCACCATCTTCAACAAGTCGCTTTTCGATAATCCCGTTGACCGGTGAAGGAACAGGAACTGAAGTCTTAAATAATGAGTAAAAAAGAGAAAGTAATATTAATTTATATTGACCTATTTTTTTTTATAAGTATTTTCTCACTTTATCTGTTTCTATTTCACAAACAACTTCATCCACTGCTACTGTGTCGCCAACATCTATGAAAAAAAAAAAATTAAACTATATCACATTATAGGTGCCAATTATGTACAGTAGCTGTGAGGTCAGTTAAGTTCTAATTTTTGTTGTATTGCACAAGTTTAATTGAATAAAGTAATATATTAGTCAATTACTTGTGAATTTATCATGTATTACACTGAACTTACTTTTTTCCCATCTCATATCACCTTCGGACACTGAATCAGCAAAAGCTGGTGTCTTTAAAATGTGTTCTTCCCCTATTGATAAATATTATATTATTTTATTAGATTATTTCCAATGTTAAATTGTTTGTAATGTTTTTCTTACAGAGGATTGCACTTGTTTGAAAATAGCGGCATTGATCAAAAGACCTTCTATTGGATGAATTATAAAGCGATATCCTAAGAAAAAAGTGTAATTAAAATACTGATATTTAAAAATCTCTGGGTACTATTAGACTACTGACGGGCTAACAGAAGAGGTAGCAACTATTGACAATCCTCTCCTTGGACAGGCGGTTTCGTTTCCTCGGTGGACCCTTCGTGTCTCGTTTGAAACCTGGTGGTGTGAAAAAACAGAGGATATGAAACAATTACTTCGACGCTTTGCACTTCTGACAGTTCACCAGGTTAGGTACATACCATCCGACGGCAGTCTAACTTACCTCGAACTGGGACGTCCGTCTGGCGGCGGCCGTTGACTTCAGGGCGTTCTTGGGCAGACTCCTGACGACGTGCAACATACCGTAGGCCATTTCGGCTTACAGCGATCAATCCCTAAACAAGTTTTGGGAGAGGAGAGCAAAATCCGTGGACTGTGTTCGTCACGTCGTTGGCCTTTGACTTACCTGTGCGGAAACGATGGCGGATGGAGGGGGGTCGAAATAGAAGGCGATGTCAGTACTTTTGTCCGGATCTTAGTGCCGGCAATATAAATAATTTTTCGGGTCACTTTTGTCGTACTTTGCGTAGCAGCGGCGAGAGAGAGGTCAGTGTCATCGATGCCTAGGACACAGAGGAGATAACAATTGGTGATAAGAGCAACCTAACACATGATTCGAGCACTCGTGACTTATTTTAATCTTCGCGACACGACTGCGCGGCAATTACTAGAAAATTCAAAACGAACAGCGATTAACGAATATTTAAGGACTACAGATGATGGAAAATTGGCGATTAATCATCGAAACTCGGTTTCCATCACGATGGATGCAAATTACAAACACTTTCAGTGGCGGGGCAACGTTGTCTGTCGCAATGAGATCAGCTATCATCGTCGTCATAGGTACTTAGCTACCTACTTATACGAAATATAATATGAATAATACTTAGTAAATTGCAATGTCACAGGCTCACTGACAATCGCTAAGACAACCGCACTCTAAGCTATTAAATTCTATTACTTCAGCTTTGACCTGATCGACCGTGTATCGTTATTATATTTTTATTTTTATTAAATTAGACTGTAAAAACAATAATCAGCCTCGACAACGCATATCACCAGCGCAGAAAACGTGATTAAAATAAACTTACAAGTATATATATGTATAATATGTACTTACGCGTGGGTCCTAATTATATCAATTATATCAATTATCTATTATATATTTATCATAGGTCTATTAAAACTATTATCTACATACCATAACTCGATTATACCATATTATATATTTATATAATGATCTGATTAACCAATTGATTATTGATCTACCAATATGCTCGTGTTATGCTTTTATTTCGACTAAAATGTTAATTGGAATTTATATATTATACTTTATACTTTTCTTTATATTAATTTTTTATCTAACCCGTGACAACATAAGCCATTGGGTGATGGTTATTAGTCTGTTTGTTTTTTACTATATGGCGTAGGAGGAGGGAAGTATGATTGTTTCGAAACACGTGTATATGGGGCAAAGATTTGTCACTAAAAACCCCCGTTGGCCACCCATCTGGGAGATGGAAATGAGCGATAGCAGCCGATGCTTGACCTCAGCACAAGTTAGTGACAGCGGCCAACCACTGTGCCTCACCAGGCCCACTTTATACTTTATATGTATACCTCTAAAAGGATTTAAGGATTACCTATGAATAAATCGGTGCTTAAACCTAACTTAAGAGGATGACGCATTGACGCCACACCCGCATGTGTTGTCTCCGTCTTACAAACGTAAAACATGGCAAAAATTGTTATGCACGAAATAGAACCACTCGAGCTGTTATCCAAGCTAAGCAACCAAATGTTCACACTTTAAACAAAAGAACATTTACTGTGCAACATGGTTTTTATTTTTTCGATATCACAAATACAAGAAAATTTCTTATTGTTTAAAAATTCATTACTTCAAACTTGAATAACTTTTTTTGTATTCGTGATATCGAAAAAATAAAAACGATATTACACATTAAATGTTCTCCTCTTAATAGTATCAAAATTTGTTTGCTTAGCTTAGACTACAGCTTCGGTGATTCTATTTCACTCAAAACAGTTTTTGCTATGTTGTACGTTTGTAAGACGGAGATAATACATGCGGGTGTAGCATCCTCTTAACCTACAGGCTATAGATATTTAGAAATGGGCAAATTGGCAAGTTACAGCAACCTAACTCTGCTACGATTATTGTTTTCATCCATAATAATTATTATTCAACTCATTATCCTACTCATTTGACATCTCATTAGTCATTATATATTCTATCATTAACAAATCAAAACTGTCGAAAAATTTACTAAAAACCAGCCTTAATAATAATAATAATAACAAGCCATTTCAATAAATAAAAATTAATAAACCTTTTTTTTTAGAAAAAACCTCGCTTTAAAAAAATTCAGAGTAAAATGTATTTTCTATGTTTTTAATTTGCTATAAGAACAACTTACTAATGTGCAATTTTAAATTACATTTTCAAACTTTTTGAGAATGGAAATTTTTATAAACATTCAATTCAACTCGATACTATCATTCATATTTAAACATCATACTCTCTTAAAACGTTATTATTTATTAATATGGCTTTACACTTATCTATTTTTTTTTAAATTCTAGTAAGAATAACTTATGAAAAATCATATTAAAATTTGTATTATCGAGTCTCATTACGCAAATATTAAAATAAATAATTGTATACATTTTTAACCATAAAATAATTTGTAAATGTTCGTGATTTTGTCTAAATTTGAATACCCATGCTTATAAAAAAACAATTGTGATTAATTTTTGAACATTTTGTAAATACTGTAAGAACACTTTGTGAGGAACATTTGTGACTTGGCAAAAAAATTATATCATACATAAGACAAAAAATAACTAAAAGAAGTCAAAAATATTCAATCTCTAAATAACCAAAAATGTTTTTGAAAATTATACCATAATATTTATAAAATGATAGTATAAATATTCTTTTCAATAAATTCAATTGTCTGCGGCTATTCATATTTGAATTTTATTAGCCATTATTTGATTTACAAAATCGAACTATGTCGTTTTTCTAAAATATTTGTTTTTTTTACAGTTTTGTTTTTAGCGACTATTTTGAATAATATCCTATGTTATATTGTTTAACCTCCCGAAGTACAAACTAGATTTAATTGCTACCAGAAACCACCCTAACTCAATATTAAATATTGAAAACCTTATTTCTGGTATAAAAAAAAAAACAAGAAAAAAACACACCATTAAGACCAATAAATTAATCTTAGAATATCTTAGCTGTTAGTACTAGTAATAAAAATATTTTCAATACGCAGATATTTACGACTGGGAATATAATATAGGTAGTAGGTTGTAATAAAAGTACCTACCTAACTAAAGGGATTTTCTTATTATTTTCTTTGGACGATTTCCTTGTATTGATTTAATTGTTAATTATAACAATATCTATGGCATACGATGCAGTATTACTATATATAGATATAGTTTAAACAATATAGTAGGTGTTATAGTTTGAAAGTTAAGGTGTATTATCAATGTATTGTCAATAATTGAATTAATAGAATTATAAATATATTTATTATTATAGTATTATAATTATTAATTTTTTTTTTGAAATAGGTAACACTCTATTGGATAATAGATTTTAGGTGATCGATGGTAGCTATCCTGAGCTGTATTTCTATGTTTTCATTAGTTATTTCGTCTAAGTACATTTTTATTTGTTGTTCTGCGTGCATTTTTTCCGATATATAAACATTATTTTGTTCATTTATCTTTTTATTCAGTAAATAAATTTCATTTTCAAGTATGTTGTTTTTTTCTTTTTTGTTCTGAAACAACATAAATAATAAATATAAATATGTTAGTTAGTTTTAGATTTATTGAAATGCGCAAGTATCAGTTTTCAAGAAAAAAACAAAATGAATTCGAATTCTTGAAGATTTTTAATATTTATTATTAATAGATTTTAGTACCTATTTAACAATTATATTATTTGAATTCGTTGTATTCTCAGATTTGTGTATTCGGATTGGACGAACTTTTGTATAGTTTGATTTGACTTCAAAATATTATAGTGTTCAAGTTATAAACAACTAGGTAATTGTTATTATTTTTATTTATTAGTTTTATATCTCACAATGAAACACTTAAAATGTTGAAAACAAATTAAAAATCTCTTTCTATGAAATGTCAAAATAATTTGAATATTATTATTGAACATCTAAAAAGAAAAATTCTTGCTCCGCGTCATTATGCTTTATGATCATTACTCATTAGCTTATAAATTAACATATTTTTTACCTTAGAACGAATTTTCGCTATATCAATTTCATTTTTTATTATTTTCAAAAATTTGTTGTTGATATTTTGGTAATTTACAGCCAATGTCAATTTGTCTTCAAGCTTTAATACTTCTTCGTATTCTTTGATTACTCGCCAAACCCTGAGCCATTCATTTCGAGCCGTTTGATAGTCACACAAACCTCGTCTTATCGATTCTCTTAAATCTTTGTACATCTCACCTGTTACACTGTCTAAACGTATTTTGGTTAACTGCATAATGCGTTTTTTTTCGTTGACAATCATTATCTTAAATCTAAAATTACACAAGTTTAAACACTGTAAGAACATAGTTGAATAAAAAATGAATTTTAAGGTCATTACAAGGCGGGGATGTCATGCAACTATGCAAATGTAGGTAGTAGGTACTTAGAACGTCAGCTAGGTAAGTATCTGTGTATGTATTTATCAATAATTTTGGTTCTAAAAAAAGTTAACATATCTGCTTACTTTTTTACCACGGACGAAGGATACTGCGTGAAAAGAAAATCCACAGATTTTGGGTCCATTTTTAGTGTTTCCTTTAATAACATCTCAGATATAACGCTTGAACTGTTAACTGATGGATGTAGCAATAATTGCATTTTAGGCATTATTATTGACTTTTTGACTTCATCAAAAACTCGTCGTCTGGCTTCAATCTATATAACAGGGTCTTATTCATCATTAGATCATCTATATGCTTAATTATAGCTAGTCGATAGACAATAATAATAATATGACGATAATAAGACAACAAGGAATGAGATAAAATGCTGACTCTCTTTGTTATTCAGTAGGAATGTTTGTATATGTAAACTATTTAAATTTAACAATAATAATTTAAAAAATAATTGTTAGGTATACAAGTCATACTTCGACAACTATAGCTTTGATTCGTTTTTTTAACATTGATAATTGATTGAATCGATGTAACGCCTCGGGGTCGCGTACACCCTGGGCCCTTAAATATTCCACCAAGAAAAATATCAGCTTATTAACAAAAGGATCTTGACATTTTGTTGGTTGTAGATTATTCTGTTCATTGACCATCTCGTGTTTGATAGTGGTGTACAACGTGTGATAAAAACTACTAGCACGTTCTCTGATGTCCGGGGTATTTCGTCCAGATAACACATCCCATATTTCTTTTACTAAAACTGCTAGGCCATTGCTTGCCTGCTCGTCCAATAAGACTAACTCAATTTCTTGTGAGTTCTTTGGTAAAGAAGAACTCACTGGTAAATCTTGGAAAGTAGGTATTGGACTTTTACTATAAAGAATATTCAAGTAAGTAGGTCTAGTTTACAAATAACAACTAATTCTGAATTCCTGCCTATTCCTATAGCGACCTAACCTTACTCTCCTCTATATAAGTTAAGTCGTTTATTAATTTATTATTAAGGTATTACTGTAATAGTATATGTATTAGGTATGCCTCTATGAAAGGGTCTACTCGAATTGTCTCCCACGATTGCTTCATATATTAGGTACCTAGTCGACTCTCTTGTACTGGAATCGCCTCCGGTAGATAATTTAATCAATTTCTAGTTTGAATACTATTTGGATGAGTTTGGTTTTTTCAGAATCAAAAACATTTATGAACGTACACAACAGTTAATCGAGAAGGATAAAAGTCCACAATCCACACTCACATTAAAAAATAAAAAATCAATATAAATGTGTGATGGAATAATAATTCAAAAGGTTATTGCTTGCTAATAATTCAAAAGGTTATTGCTGGCTAATAATACATAAAGGTTTTTAGATTTGTATTATGAATATAACACTATAATAAATAGGCCTTTGGCTGCAGTCAATTCCATGGTAGGTAGGTAAAAATTAGTAAAAATCAGTAATACAAAATGAATGTTTCAATTAAAATAAGCCGACACAGTAATAATAATTGCTAATAAAACTGAATATAATAATAAATAATTATGCCAATCCAAATAATGGTATGATGAGTAATAATAAATAGATAATAATATTTTTGAACATTATGAAAATTGCAGATATAGTACCCATACCTACTGTTGCAGTACTGTTCTATTGTACTACTGTCGATTAAATACAAATCTATGTAAGCTATAATATGATGCGATTTAAGCGAAAAAAAGGTGACCTCTACCTATATACATCGGGGAGACGCACCTCTATGAATATGTGGTTGCATCCGAATTGGTTTCCGGATAAAGACTTTCAAATTGAAACATATATTAAACCAGCGGTTCTCAAACTGTGTTCCGCGGAGCCCTGGGGCTCCTTGAGAGTAATCTAGGGCTCCGTGGCTCCCATATATTATCTGTATTAATTAAATTCAAATTATTAAATTATTATTATATTTCTTAGTTACATTTTAAATTATTATACTTGTATTCATTCTTATTTGGACCGTACCAATATGTATTATTTTAAAGTTTAAAACTGTAAACTATTTATAAATCCACAAATTTTTTTATAATCAACATCATTTTCTATGAATTATTGTTCTCTCAAATAGACATTTCTGAATTTTGAGGGCTCCGTAATTTTTTTTAGGCACATAAGGGCTCCGCGAACAAAAAAGTATGAGAACCGCTGTATTAAACTATTCATTACGGAAAATAACAGAACCTTAAAACTAAAAGTAAAGAAATCCAGAAATGGACAAGTTAAAAAAATTGAAATAAATAGAATGGAATTAATAACTTATATTAATTGTTATACATTTTTACATCGATAAAATAAAATATCCAAAAAAACAAAGGAACATTTGCTTATTATTACGTATTAATATTTATTTTATAAAAAAATATTAAGACCTACCTATTTTGAAACAAAAAATCCCTTTTTTTTATACCTGTATAATTTGTAAACATAGACCTAATTCTGTATGAAATGGGTAGGAAAAATGAAAATACTTTCATACTCGGAACCAATTCGGATACATCGGACTATGTGTTACTATACTCTGTTCAAAATGAGATCGGACCTCGGCGGCCGAGTCGTGCGCATGGGCGTGGCTTTGTTCCGCGGCAGCGTCCGACATGCCGCTGTAGCGTCTGACCGTCGAGGAACGAAAACTGGTCGCCGCCGAGGTCCGATCTCATTTCGAACAGACTCTATGCTTATACATACATATACATGTATTATGCTTCGTTGGTATTGATATGTCCTATGTTATAGATTTTAGATTCTACGTTGATTCCTCTTTATAGTCTTATATTTAATATCAAAGTAAGATTAAGTTTCAGATTTGTTTGATTTGCTGTATAACTATTAGATTGTTTTTTATATGTATTTACATAGTTTCTCCTCGGGAATTCAACCACATCGGACCTGTGCCTACACTTCCAATGGTAACCGCTACATATCCAAATACTGAAAAGCCATCATTTAAACTCTGAACGGCTATATAAGTCCGTTCATCCGATGAAATATAATTAAGTTCGTCTAATGGTAACTCTCTGTTGAATACTTCAGGAGTTATGTTATTTTCCATAAGTGTATCCGGCTTTCCGTAAAATGGTAATTCGTCAAAGGTCTCTAAGGGCTTTTTGGATGGCATTCGTGTAAACGGAGCTCGTAACTTTCCGTCATATAAATGTATTAGTAACTGTGCCAAATACATATTACGTTTAATTGCTTTAAAATGGTTTGGACGAGGGTTCTCCATTAGTTTATTAATCCAAGCCTAAAAGTTGTCAAATATATTATTATATTGCAAATATATTTTAACATGGTGTAGTTTACATAGATATTACTGTCTAACCAGTAGCCAAATATGAAACAATCAGTTTCCAATATCTTAGGATATTTTGTGTAACAATATATTATAATTAAATAATCTGTTTGATTGTATGCACTCTTTTACTCGTCGTTAATTGTTAAATTAGGTATACATTTATAGGTACCCATATTAAGTACCGAGTACCTGAACAATTGTTTTATCCGTAGATTGATTGAAATTGTCAAATGCTCGCTTTATATGCGAAATATATAAGAAAAAATGTTGAGTAAGTATACCAGATGCTGTGTTTTTACCTATTTCGGCCTGCTCTTCCATATTCGACATGTTTAATTTCAAATATTTTTATTAATGTTTATTTTATGTAATAACATATTTATTCCATTTCAATTTCAAACAAATAATTGAACTAAAATGAACCAGAGGTATACTGCAAATTGTTGTGTAGGAAACGAGATTATTATATAATCTATATTCTATACTATAAACAATCATTGATTAAATATACTATACTTAATGAAACAATAATAATAAATATAGTTCATGACGTCATGTGGTGATATAATATTTCATTTATTAAAGATAAAATAAAACATATTATTAAAGTAATAAAAACATCAATAAAAATGAGATAAACATAATACTAGTAAAAAAATAAACAATAACATTCATGTAAATCTTCAAAGAAGATCAATTGATGAAAAATGTAAAAAAAAAACACAACATGTATTAATTATTTTGAATTATTAATAAGACCAAGGCTAAGCAAGTTAAACATTTTTTTGTTAACTCGTTAAGTTAAGTTAACACAAAAATTAAATCATATTAAAATTAAAATAAATTTGGTAATTCAAAAAAATTAAAACTTATGTATTTTATTGACTGAATATCACTTTTACAAAGGATAAAATAATGTTTACAAGTAAATAATAATATAGGAATTCAACTTGACATTAGTTGAAATGAAAGTTAAATAATCGAACAAAATCGAAAAACAAACTGAAATTTGTATAATAAATCCAACTTGTTCACCCATTTTATTTTGTGGACCATTATGCTTAATGTAATTTTAAAAATGCTTATTTAATATTTAACACTTTTTTAGAAAGATGTATGGTTAATCAAATGTCTTACATTGAACATGCATAGGAATAACCTGTCGTTGTACTTTTGTTTCTATTGATGAATTAAAAAATATATTTGTGACGTGGAAGATGTCTTAAGACCGTAAGTATTACGATTGAAAATTTTAGAATTAGCCTTTTTTTCTTTCTGTTGATAATTTTACATAAATCACTACACGATGTTTCGCATTACTTTGTTTCACATCCCTCGTGAAAGGATTCTGGTGTAGGTCAATCATCAGTTTTTTATTATAAGCGAAGATTTGAAACAGAGCTATACAGTTTTTCTATCTGCTATGATGCTTGTGAGGACTAAGGACTAAGGACTATTTCAAAATATTAATGATATTTAGTATTTGCGAATAGTAACGAATGTACATCGTTCATTTTTATTCACGCTTAGGGTAACTAATAATAAAATCAACAAATAACATAATCTAATGCGGTACCAACTAAATAAAATGTACAATCAATAGATTGGGTCACATGACATTTTTAGAGCGCACCTCTATACAAGTAAAAATTATATAGACAGTACTAAAAATAATTTCTTACTAAATAAAAAAATACATTAGGTATTTTAAAATCTTGTTCAATTTTAAATCTAAAAACATACTCTATTATACTCATTAAATACAAACATTTAAATTAACTTAACGTCTTAACTTAAACTTTTTAACTTTTTAAATGTTAATGCATGCATAGCCTTGTCAATTACTATATAATATAATATAGTCATAATATGTTCTATTTTAAGTTATAAATGTTTTTAGGTAATTATAATATGTTTATACAACTTTAAAATTTCACTTTCATTTAAGTTGTATTCTTTTCTTTTTTTTTTATTATATAGGCCAAATTAAATATTTTAACATTGAATATTTTACCATATAATACATTTTTCTTCTGGATTCATAGGTGTTCCAATTTGACAATTAAATACTTTTGAAAATTCTTCAAAATTACTTAGTGGACCATTTACTCTATACTGGGACGGTGAATGCAAATCTTTTTCCATTTGTAATTTGAGAGATTCTTCTGTACTTGATGAACACCACACCTTAGAAATAAAAAATTATTTTTATCGATTTCTTTTGTTTAATTAGTTGTTTACACTAACCTGTGCAAAACTGACGAAAAACAATTGTTGTGTGGTAAGATGGACAGCAGGCAAACGGTTTGGCTGGGCCTTCTTTTCTTCAAGCAACTTTACATAAGCACGATATGCAGCTTTAAGTCCACCGTTGTCAGCAATATTTTCTCCTGAAATATAATTGTTTTTCATAAAAATAATTACTTTAAATAAGTGATTCATTTTTAGTATACCTAATGTGCGTTTTCCATTTATATTATAACCATTAACTTTGTAGTTGGAATACTGTTTGATCATACAGTCTGTAGCTTCTTTAAATTTGTTTACTGTTTTGTTGTTCCACCACTGGTGTAAATTTCCAAAGCGATCAAATTCTCGACCTTTTAGTTTAAAAATACTTGTTAAAATATTTAAGCAAACATATTTTAATATTATTAAAAGCTGATATTTTCCGTTTTGTGTATAAGTCAACACAGCGTAATACTTTCCTACAGATTATAAACAAATGTTTAACATTTTAAATTTACCTTCATCGTCAAATGCATGGGTGAGTTCATGTCCCATGACTACTCCCATAGCGCCATAGTTTATGGAAGATTGTTGCATTTGATCGAAAAATGGTGCCTGTAAGATACCTGCCGGGAAGACTATTTGATTTTTGGTTGGCGTATAATATGCGTTTACCGTTGGAGGAGTCATACTCCACCTGAAAGAAAAACGATCAATCAAGTTGATATCAAATCGAACGTGAATTATGATTTTACTTTGAACGATTGACAGGTTGATCGAGCTTATATAAATACTGCGCCAAGTTATATTGAATAGCGCGTAAATTGTTATTAAAGTATTCGTCGGAACGTACAGTCAAATTTAGGTATTTATCGTCCAACTGATTCGAGTCCATTATGTAATCCGGAAAACCTAAAATATTGCAACGGTGAAATAGGTGAATACTTTTCGTTTATAGGAAGCTTTTAATCCGTTCGTAAATTAGTATTATATTACCAATCATGTCTGTTATAGCATCTGCTTTCTTTTCGGCTTCAATGAGTGTTTCTTTATCCATCCATTTCAAATTTTTAAAATTATCCTTAAATGCTGTTCTTATTTCATTAATCATATCTTCAGCCTAAAAATATAAAATGTTTAGTTTTCGATTTTTTTTTTTTTTTCTGTTCATTTATCTGATGTTATTCACTATTATTCCACTATTATACTTACTAGTTTTTTCGACTGTCCGTGGAAAACTTCACGGACATATAATGCACCTAAAGCGAATCCCAATACGTTGTTTGTATCGCTAATACAGTACCGCCATGGTTCTTCACCACCTTCTGATCCTAACAATGCTTTCCGTAGTCCTTTATATGCGTCTCGAAAAACTTTCGATAAATAAGGAGTGACGGTTCTGACAGTTTGCCACACCAGATAGTTGTTAATTACCCTATTTATTGTTTATAAAATAATCAACAATCAGCAAACTCTAAATGAAATTTAGATTTTTAAAAATAAATGTTTTTTACGTCTTATTTTCCGGAGATTGACTGTACTCGGTTATTAAATTAGAAAGGTTTGCCATGAATGATGGAGAGTATACCACGACGTTTTCTTTAATTGTAATCTTTCTATCGACTAATCGAAAAGCTGCATTGAAGTAGCGATTCCATTGAATCTGTACAAACATTTATTAATATGATTAAATATAATTTATAATTTTTGAAAAGAAGAAGTTTAAGTTAATATTGAAAAAACAAAATAATACACATACGAATGGGGCTAAATTCTGTAATTCACTGATAGACATAATGTGGTAAGCTTTTTCTTCATCACGTTTATCCTCATCGGGTTCTGTAAACCTAGCTAAACGTGTTTCAAATTCAATAACTTCTTTCATTTGAAGTCTTGTCGAATTCGGTTCACCACCCAATAAAATTCCAATCTAAAACCTCAAACATAAACAATTCTTATTCAATTAGTTAATTTAATGAATAATATGTATAGTATTTAATAACAAGTGAGTCATTTTAGATTCTGAGCTGTGCGTTTTGACTTAACAATTAGTGTTCAATAGAATAATATTAAAAAAAAAAAACAAAAATTAAAATTCATCACATATTATAATCATATAAAATAAATGCTTAAAGTAAATCAAAAAAATATATGAATAAATTATGAGCTAACCGTTGTCATGTAATCTAAATATGTATCTAATAATTTTCGGTTTGCTGTAACGTTCAAATAAAAATCTCTAGTTGGTAATGTCAGTCCACCTTCATCAACCTACATCAACACAAATATACAAAAACAAAATAATTAAAATTATCACACAACATTTTCCATTAATAACATAATTTATATTTTACTCAAACTTTCGTTTTTGGAATTTTTAATTTTATGTAGTTATTTCAAAACCATATTTTTAAATGAATTGAGATTTCATCATATCATTTAACAAAGCATCCTTAGGTGAGACAAACGTTTTTTTCAAATTACATCTAAATTATGTATGTTATATTACATCTGTTAAATTGTTATTCATATGTTAATGAAAATGATGATTTATAAAAATTTGAAATTATAAATACAAAATTGAACAAGTAGTTTCTGAGATTTTTTGTACAAAGGATAATAGTCCATGACATTACGACAATAGGTTTAAAAGATATTGGAATTTGGAGCTACGATGATATTAAACTATTAAAGTTATAGTAAATGAGTCAAATTAATATTATTTTAACAACATGTTTTTAATTTTTAAAAATTTTCCGAGTAAATATTACTTTTATTTTATATTTTAATGTGCTTAAAACCATTATTAAGAATATTTAGTAAGTACAATTGCATGCAATGAAAATCCTCAAAAGCTACTCATTCAAACTTCAATGAATATGCATCAATATAAAAAAAATCATTTGCTCAATAATTTACACGAAAAAAGTGCAATTGACACATCAAAAAGTAAAGAAGTTTGTATCCACAAGACACTCTTTATTAAATCGTATAAAAACCAATAAATACCTTACTACCTTTAATAAATATGTTTTTAAATTTATTTAAAATATCCATAAATCAGAATTTGAATGAATACTTACACTAAAAGATACAACGGGTAAGGATTGAAGATGCTCGGTTAATCATATTATACAATATATGAAGACTTATGAGTTATGAGTTTACCTACTAGTTGTACATTTCGTTGAATACTAACTTGAATTACGTGCCTGCTTGAATTTCTGTCATCTTCACCAACCATCCAATAGAACAGTCCAGCCATATTGTACCGATTGTGA